CCTCTTTTTGATAAAAAGCGTTTCCATGCGAAAATGGGCCATTTTTTGCTCATTTTTGGCCCCACCCCCACTCTTCCCAGGAGCACTCTACAAGCCTCCTAAGGGCTATGCATGCCCTTTTTGGGGGGGGGGAAACGGGCCCGCTTTCATGAAAAACTGGCTGTTTTGGGGAGGTCTGCAGAGTGCAAAACCTTTTTTTTTTAATTTTCTCTGCAAAACCTTGCTGGGTCTTATACTCTGGTGCATCTTATACACCAAAAAATATGGTACGTGATCGCTACTTGTGACCAAACCAGCCAATTTGCAACAAGCAAGTCAGTGGGGGAAGCCAGATTTGCTTAACAACCACACGATTAACATAACAACCACAGCATAAAAGTTGTAAAATTGGGTGCTGGTTAACAATCACCTTGCCTAGCCAATTCTGGCCTCAACTGCGGTTGTAAGTTGAGGACTAACTTACACCCATGAAAATCTAAGGCAAAAAAAAAAAGAAAGAAAGAAAGAAATTTAAGATATACCTGCTTCGCCAGCTTGGTCTCCCTTCTCGCCTTTCTCTCCCTTTGGGCCCCGCTCACCTGAAAATAGAAGAAAAAAGGTATCAGGACCACAAGGCTCTCAGGCATTGTGCAATTTTGATGCCCAACGATAACTACTTAAAAGACTGCAGTGTTCTTCACTGGACCCCATTCATTGGCAATGCGGCTTTCATGGAAGAACTGTGCTAGATTAATTAGACCTGTCAGTCTCCTAACCTGCTGTCCTTGTTGATATATTGAAAACAAAATTGCTAAGTTAATAACCCATTTGTGACCCTAATTGCATCCATTTATTTACGTTCGACATGCAAAGTTGGATTAAAAAAACTAAAAATAAATAAATCCTTGTCAAATTTTCTGTCCTGCAGGGACTCAGTTGCAGCTTATTTACTAGGGCCAACAAACAATAAACAATTTGGATGTGCCCCATAATGGCATTCCAAACTCATCAGTCCAGTTGCCTCTGACCCACGAATGAAATGTCACATCATTAATCGGGGCATAATTGCTTCATTCGAAAGCCGCCAACGCATGTGAGTGATCAAGAATGCCGCACACTTCCTTTGAAATGCTGTACCGGATCCATGCCCAATTCACAGAACGGATCTTGATCTTTAAAAGCGCTAAAGGTAGAGTTGCCTATTTGTTTCATTTATTATTGTTGGTTGCACAGGCAGCAGTATATCTAGACAGGAAGTGACACTTTTGCCCAGCTACTGAGTCCTTCCCAAGGATCTGGGATAGGCAGATGTTGTATGGTGGTGTTAAAGTATCATCACAGGATGTAAGCTGTTCCAAGGAAAGCTATCTTTTGCAATTGACTGAGGGTGATTTTGTCAATGTCAATAAGGCTCAGGTGTTACTCCAGGTGTTTTGAGAGTGCGTCCAAGTGCCTATCACCATTCTAGTCTTCCTTATCAATTATTATTATGAGGGTGACTATGTTGAAACAGAAAAATGCTATGCACAACTGCCAAGGTTAATTCTCTCTCTGTCTCTCTGTCTCTCTGTCTCTCTGTCTCTCTGTCTCTCTGTCTCTCTGTCTCTCTGTGTGTGTCTCTCTCTCTCCCTCCCTC